ATTCCATGGATTTCATTGCCTTTTATACCTGAGATGTCGTTTGAGGAATGACGGTAGCGCAGTAAAGAAGGTGATCGCACTCACTTTCAAGGTTCAATGGGTCTTTTCATTGAAGTCTGAGATTTACATGTATAGTGCCACATTTCGATTGGTTCCGTTTAACGACCGCGAGATCTTCACTCGAGGTTTCGGACAGTTTGCGTAGTTCGGCGTAGGTATGGTGTTTTGTTGTGCTTTGGTAAGGTTGAAGTAAACTATTGTGTATTTTGGAGTATCTCGTTAGAAAATTCGTTTGTTCACCAAATTAGGATGTGTAAGCAAATGCGGTGGAAATGTTTTTGATAACCAACAAACAGCGCTGGATAGCTGTTTCGTCCTGNCGTCCTGTCGGCTACTGCTGAATAGTCTAAAATAGGATGTGTAGGCTTCACTGGTAACAACATGTATTTGCCATACCTAGTAAAAGTCTACATTACCTACCGCAGTTGGGAGAACTTCACGTGAAGGTCGACATAGGACTTTGATACGAGACATAAAGAAATACACAGAGCGACTAGATAGAGTAGGTTTCTCCCGTCATCCAGGTTGGGATCGAACGGTCTCTGTAATTGGTTAGTCGGAGACACTGAAAGATATGCCAGTAAACCGACATCATTGGCGTTCTTGTTATCATTTCTTATCAGGCCAGAATGCTTGAAAAAGTGTGTATGCACAGTTAGACTGTGTACTCTTTGTTGATCACAGAGGTTCGTTTTTTCCCTCGAAACCGGTCCACTCATCTGTCTGACATTTGTACTTCGTGTATATTATGAATGTTACATGTTTACCACACGCAATTTGGAATCTGGGTGATCATATTCTTACGACATTTCGCTCAATGAATAACCACTCATTGCTCTCGCTCTTTAGTTTTTGTTGTTGCTCTTTGTAAAACGTGCTTTGGTGTGTATTCATCTTTTTTTTGTTTACGAGGTTGCAGACCAGTCATCTGGTGACACAACCGTGATTACGCATAAGAATTTGGATCATTTGGTTGCTGATTTCACCCAAGCACTCAACGAATGGAGTAGCTCTATTCGGTCCAGTGAAAAACCAGAATTGTCCGATGTAAAAGACGCTCTAATTGCGCGGATTTCCCGACTCGAGCGACAATTATGTGACGTGTCTCTGCAATACCAAATGGAGCGACGTCGACGTCTAATGGTCGAAAAAGAGGTTAGTTATCATTTGTGTTAACGACTCACGATTCACAATAGTTAAAAAAAAATACATTGTAGGCTTATGTTTAGTTGTCGATAGACCGAAAATAGTGGCAAACAGATTGCTCAACAGATAACCCTTTTTGCCATGTTTTCTCCATATAATTCTATTCCTAAATGTGACGTTTTCAAGTAAGTTTAAATAAAAGCACTTAAATGACTCCACAGTTTCGATCCATGCAGTCTTCTGAGACTGAGGCGTGGTTTACTGTTCAAACTTAATCTTTGGTTGGTGGGAGGTTTCTCTTGCTGTGAACATTCGTTCTGTCTCCTGAGTTAGCGGCGGATTCTATGCCAGTGGATTGATATAAAACAGCCCCCTTCCGTAACTTTGTTTAAAGGAATCTTTCAACCATTTGACCGTTATATTGTCTATATTTGCTTCCCCTTTAGTGTTGGTATATTCATATGAGGATAGATAAAACCTACGGAAAGGTGAATTTTCGATACTTTTGTTTTGAGTTGTGAAATTGAAGCCCTGTCAGGTAGTTCTCACCTTCGAGAAGAGGAAGAAGATATATGATTTGGAACCATCTGGACCAAAATAATCACGATCATATTGCTAGGATGGGGCCGCACTGATAACGTAAGCCACAAATTCATCCTTGTTAATTTTAGATTCAAACCTGTTTTTAGCTTCTTTATTCAAATTCGCTACGGGGAAACTATGCTTCCAATTTTAGATTCATTATTTTTTTGTCATTTTCACTATTTTTATTATTATTCCTTATTGGTATTATATTTTTTATATTATTTTATATTTTAATAACAATATTGGTATTACTGTTGTAAAACAATAAAAATAAGAATTGTCATTACATATTTCTTGTGCTACCCAGGAATGTTTTTGACGAAATGATTATAGTACTCATAAGTAGTATGATTTTAACAGAAAAATGGCTTCGAGCCCCTTTCCTGTCATTCCACCCTTATGCATCCTGATGATGGATTGGTATTTCATCTGGAGAGATAAAAGGACATAAATTGACACATTAATTTCAATTTGATAGTGTTGCCCTTGTTGTAACTTATATGTCAGCAGTTAAATCGATAATACTATTCACGATAAACGGTGTCACTACTATTCTCTCCAAGCTGCTGATCACAATACCACCCAAATCCAATATTATTCCGACCTTTAATTCCCCCCCCCCCCCCAAATCCAAAATATCAAAATTGTGATTTCAATTTCAGGGAACAGTGGGTCACAATGGCTATCTATTGCTTACCAATTACTGACATAGTGGTGGCGGGTTGCTCTGCTGTCTTCTGGTTCAATACCACGCATAACATATCGTGGCTTTATGTGGTTCGCCACTCCAAGTCCCGGGGCTTAGGTTGCCGGTTTCCACCACTGAACCGCAGGTCCTCGTGACTATGAGGTTCGCCTCGTCCTCTGTTCATCACACTTAAGTGTAATGAAAAAACACTTCTGCTTCACCGGGCTCACGTCCCCTTCTGGTAAACGAGTCGATCAATCGGTTGGTTGTCTCTGCGCGGTCGTGCGTGCAGCTCGAAACAGTAGTTCTTTTAAAATGGATGTTGGACAGATAAAACCACATTTGGCACCTAAAATACCGCGTCATCGGCCGTTCTTAATGGAATTAAGTGTCTGTTGTGGGATAGTAAAAATGGGGCAGCTACGTATGAAATTGAAGCACGGTATTTACCTGCTTTTACCTGCACAGTCTGTTGAGGTAACCAAACAAGCGACGAACAAAACTAGGTAATCGCGAATACCTTATTTCCATATCACCGAAGATGCTCCATCAGCGTTTAATGTATGTAGAATATCAAGAATGACCAAACCACTATGTAAAATGACAGTATGAAAGCCGTGACGAATGAACTTGGTTATGTTAGAATTAATCCATGGATAAGGACTATCAACGATGTAACTAAGTATCACAGCTAGTGGTATTCGTGTGTTCACTCCTTTTTTAATCGCATTGAGTTAGATGGGATCTATGCCATTTTTCATCTTCATTTTAGCCAGCATACGAATTTTTATGTAATCTCTTTCGTTACCCTTTGGCTTGTTCAAGGGGCAACTGAAACCGGTGCACAGACGTGCAAGGTCAATGACTGTTTCTGCTATTCGATCGCAGGTAGTATTTATGCAAATTATATGGAAGTCGGTTCGACAGCTGGTAGTCTGAAAACTGTACTGTGAATTGTGCATATGTTCCCGGTCACAGCTGACGCCGTGTTTTTCCGCGATCGACATTTTCTTTCAGCGTTCACTTAGAACGGCTCTTGGATTTCGTGATGCACGAAATCATCATCCCTTCCTTGTTTGACATTGACTCTGTTTGAGGCTAACTTTGTCCCTACTTGAACACGTATTCTCTTGGTCGCAATCAGCGCTCTTCCACTGCTCTCGATGAGCTTACCTCCGCCTCCTCGGCCACCACCACCAACAACAACCACGGGGACAGTGAGACATTGAATTCTGTGACGGATGTCAATATGGGCGATTCCCTCATGCTGGACTGGATGCAAGAACGAATATATGCGGTGACTGATCAGGCACAATACTTCGCCGCACGTGCTGCATTCTTACAAGATGAAGTGAGTGTGTCTCTGTGTGTGCTGATCTGCGCTATATGAAATCACAAACTATTTCCCTCATTCACACATGCCACATTTTATCTGACTGACTTAGAGAAGTTCAGTTCTCTCTAGTTGGCTCCATGCTGAGCCACTTGTTCTGTCGCCTTGTGTGTGTATGCTATTGGAATGCTTAATGTAGAAACTAATGCTTCACTTTTTTAGATCGGGGTGAACAGAGTTGATTTGGTGAATAATTGGTCGTTCACCTGAGTGCACTTGCACTTATTGCGAAATTCAAGCTGTATGTGGTCTCAAATTGGATTCATCCGCTCAACCATTCATCNCCATTCATCGATCTACACATCTATCTATTCACCCCTCCAAATAATCATCAGTCTAAAACTAGCAAGTTGCCAGCAAAATCAAGGCTTTGATTCTATTAACCATCCTCCAGATACCACATTCACATACAGTTCGCAGTCCATACAGCCAATCATACACTTGAAAGGCGCTAAACTCGAGTTTCGCTCTTACTAACAGTCATCAGCAATGCATTTCTGGAAGATTTGGACTTCGGACTCCCTGCATGCAATGTGTTTGTGTGTGTAACCGCAGTGCCAAACGCTTGCGATCGACTCGGTAATAGTTATCCCTCACCAGTACCCGCAATTGACTATAGGGTAAAGATTGAAGTTACTGAGATTTCGACAGATAAAACAGTGGTAGAACGGTGGAATTTTGGTGCTGTTTGTATTTTTTCTGTTCGTGGGTTTTAGGGTGGAGAGGAAAATAGACATAATACGAGGTGACAAACCTCTATCTGGATATCGTTTAGCAGCAGATATATGGGGCGATAACGGGAGAGGAGTGAACATTCAGGTCAGTTGCAAGCATTTCTGGGTTGTTTCAGTGGGAGTGTGGCTATTTTCAGCATACCTTCGGACGTCCATAGTCTAAATGTAGTTTTGGGATTTTTTATTATACAGAACTGAATACATTCAAAAGAATGAGCCCCATAATCCAAGGATATACACACGGGAGGTTAAAAGGAACACTCAAGCTGGAACCAGCTTGTTGATTCTGCGTTTAAAGATAATGTCATCCTTTGCAGGGTAGAACGAAAAGTGGAGTGTTCCACAGTTGTGCTGTTCTTGGGACAAAAGACTGGAATAGAAATCCTTGGGATATTCACTTTTAATGGATGTCTAGCAGCTTTTGTACGGACCATACGAGAAAGAACAGGTGGCAACGGGTGGGGATGGAAGAAGCAAGTTCGGCAGAACAGAAACCAAAATACTAACGGTAAAATAAGGATAAGGAAGCGACAGTGAATTGGTAACTGCAACTTATATGCTAGAGACGGGTCATTGATGGCTCAAATGGCCTTCGAAAGCCTCAGTATGGTCGGGGGGGGCCCGGTTGACTGGTCACCATTCCCTTATACCTCGCGAAATGCTCCTATATGACCAAACGTCTCAAATAGCCTCTGCTGAGGAAGCCCCCCTCAGTGTCTTCTCACGGCGGAGGTGTTTTCCCACCAAAGTGAGAGGACGAAAAGCCGACATCCGAGGCTATAACCGAGTTAGTCATTCATTAGTAGTTCACCTAGGGGGAGTTGGTTAAAAACCTGGATTCCAAACCAACCAACAGGAGGCGTACAAACCACACACACCTTCCTGGTTGTGGCAGTCACCGGCTCGATTGGGCATCATCCTCATCGTACAGCGAAATACAGTGAGGCGAACTTCACTGATCGCTGCCAAACTCGCAATGCATACAAGGTTAGTGGTAAAATTTAAGGTGGACAGGGATTGGACCTAATTTAAGGGAGGGGGAAGAAGGTGAACCTCTATAGTCAACACAGAGTACGCAATCGAACTCTGCATACATACCGCCTCAAGTATTCTGACCTGATAAGAAACAACAACAAGAACGCCACTGCTGTCGATTAATCGCCATATCCTTCAATGTCTCCAGCCAGTCAGTTGTAGAGTCTTTCGGACCCCAACCTGGAAGGCGAGAGACACCGATTCTACCTAATTACTATGTGCATTTCTTCATGACTCGTCTCCACGTCATCTGTTGACCTCCACGTGGTTTTCTCCAACCCGGATTAGCTACAGCGAATAAAGCGCGGTGCGGCAGACGACAGCTGGGCATACGCAATACGTGCCCTAGCCTGCGAAGTCTACTAATCTGAATTCGATGTGCCAGCAGGTTTATACCTGATAGACTCCCAAACACACGACGGCCTACCTCCACGTTACTAACCCGTTCGCTCCATTCAACATGGGCTAAACTACGTAAACACCGATAATTGAAAACGTTCAGAAGACGGATATCTTCTACTCGCAAATTCAGGGTTTCACAACCATAAAGCAGGACTGAACGAAAGCTAGCACAACATACACGACCTTTCAGCTTCAGTGAAACGTCGCGTCTACGCTAAAGATGTTTCAGTCCTGCGTATGCTGCTCGATCCTTGGAAATGCGGGCGGTTATCTCGTTTGATGTACTACCGTCATTGGTCACACAACTACCCAAGTAGGAAAAGCAATCCACCATACCTAATTCCTGGCCATTTAGTTTCAGAGCGGGAGTAGACGAAACCCATTCCTGCAGGATGACTTTGTACTTTGAAGGTGCAAAGCACATACCGAATGTGGCTACTGCGCTTGTTAATCTATCAGGTGCGCTTTGCGCTTCCTCCATACATTCGAACAGACAGACGATGTCATTAGCGTACTCTAAATCGCACAGCTTTTCTCCAGCTGCCCACGCAATACCTGCGCTTTAAAGTCCACTGAGTGCGTTCTCCAGTAGTTCGTGTGCGACGAAATTGAACAGGAACGGCGAAAGAAGGCATCATTGATGGACGCCGCTGCTGGTGACGAACGGCTTCCTTAGATTGTTGTAAACCCTTACACGACCGGAGGTCTGTAAGTACAGTAACCTCAGTAGGTTAACGTACTTCTGGGGCTTTCCTTTTCGAAGAAGACCACCCATCAGAGCTTCGCG